GCAAAGCATCTCGAGGGAGGAAACTCAGCATTTGGTCATGTCCATGGGTTCCAGACTTCAGACAGTCATTGACTGCAAAGGATTTTCATCTAGGTATGATCCTTATCTTTGTCATGAAGTTGGTTTGTTCCATTACTTATGAGCCACCAACGATGGGTGTGTGTGTATGCCACTGGCTGTACTTCTTGAATGGTTAGTGCCCCACTTTTGTCAGGGCCCTTGAATTACAGCTGAAAGTCCTGACTTCGCTCCCATCTGGGTGTGTTTCCTTTCACCTTCAATGTGGTGGTGTATAGAGGCCAAATGTCAAAACAGTTGTCCTTGTTCCAATATTTCTAGTCCTGACTGTATGTGTCTGCAGGACAGTTTATTAAATTACCTGGTATGCAAGACTTCAAGATAGGACTTTTTCAGAATTGCTTCAGATAGTAACTTTTGGGGTTATGTATATAGCACTGGATGGTAACAGGTGAGCTGGACCTCCAGCAATTTAGTGCAGTGTAATCTAGTTACACAAGGAATTAAGACCACTTCCGGTTTCAAGTTGCATATGGTATGTTCAGCCCTCACATAAAAGTAGATCAGTTTTCCTTAAGCTAGTGAGGTTTAGATTTGTTGGCCCATATCAACCCAGTTTAGCATGGGTATTGGTCATGCTGGTTGGTGATGGTAGTTGTAATCCAACTCATCTGGAGGACATTAGTTTGGGGAAGGCTATGCAAACAAGACATTCTCTTCTATTTCTGTCTCTGCTGCATTGTGGTAGAAATGCTTTCCTTGAGCTGGTTCCTTTCAGACCTGACAAATTTGCAGTTCTCAGTATTTCTAGCCAGCACAGCCAAAGGCTATTCTGACTCAGAGCTGTTATCCCAACACATCTCAAATGCAACAATTGGGAAACACTGTAGTAAAATTATTCAATTTATTCTACTTTGGTTTTCTTTATTTTCCTTGCATTTTAGCAAATTGCCTACAACTGCATTACAAACAAGGATGTTATCCCTGTGCAATTGCTGAAATTAAAAAAAAAGATATTTTTAAAATCATTTTTATATGATATTCCCTACAAATAGCCAATTTGATTTTTGAATTTACTATGTCTCATCTTTGCCCTGAAGGTGAACCCTCTCATGGCCAGCAGCTTGCCAGTTAGGGTGGTTTGTGATCTAGATTGGCCATTTGACCAATGAGACCGAGGGAGGAGTTGTGACATCAGGTATTGTGGCACATTGACCTGCCACAGCTGCTTCAAAGAAACCCAGTTATCATTTTCCATTCACCAAAGCAATACTTAAGATCTATAGGAGGCATTTCCACAAATATTACCACTAGAAATAACAACAGAAAGAAAACAAATCAGTAAGGGGTACTGAGTGGCAGAAGAGGGCTTATCTCGGTTTTGTCTATCTCAGCTGTAATGTCTGGAAGAAAGATTCAGGAAGAAGATGATCCACCTGACATACCAGATGGACTCTGCTTTAAAAAATCCTTGAAACTGTTTCAGAAACTGGTTGACACAACAGTTGCTCAGAAAAGGGAGGAAAGATTAGGCTCACGTGTACAAGATGCTGGTAAGAAAATACTTCATTTGATGTATTGTTCTCTGAGATATGTATCTACATCTCTTTTTATCAGCTCCTTTTTGGACAGCTGAAGGAGGCAAAATATGATTATGGATGACTGGATGGTGGCCAGTAAAATACAATTATGCAATAAAGCGCTCAGATTAATAATTTATGTCCAGAGCCCCAATAATAGAACATTAATAGGACAGCTGTATGACTAATAAAATACAGTACAGTATAGCAGTTCACATGGATATGTATGCAAACCCTTATAAAATAACATGATTGTGCAGGAGAGTCATAAATCCCTTGGGATAGGAAATTCCATCAGGAGGGATCACTTTTAGAAGTCCTTGATCTTACAGAATTACCTGAGGTTTTAATGCTGATCTTAAAGCATAGCAGGTTCATTGGGAATGATAACAAAAATGCTTCGTTCAGCAGCATTAAATGGACATTTTTTTTAAACAATCCCCCTTTTTTGTGTATGATATATTGGGACCCTATGTGCTTCTTACAGAAACTTGTAAATTTGTTATTGCACACCCCAAAGCCAAAGATTTCTTATTATATTTTTTCAGAATTTGCAAGATTTTCAGTAGCAGTATATGTTGGTAAGGCTTCTGGGTTAAAATGAAGATAAAAATAAAATCTTAAAAGCCAATACTAGATTTCTACACAAAATAATGGTGATGGTTAGAAAAGAAATTTAAAAAAAAAAACCCAATGTGTTAGCCTTTGCGGTTATATTCTGTGAGAGCTTTATGTTGTTTTAATTGCAGAGGAAATGGATTATGACAAATTCTTTGATGCAGTAAAGAATCTTTTTGGTCCAGATGTGAAAGCCCAAGATGTCAAAACCTTCTATAGGAAGATTAGCAACAACCCAGATGGACGGACAGAATGGTGTGAGGTAAGGGATGCCTTTCTTGTTTATCGTAAATCAACTTGTGTAACAACAATCAACTTCAAACCTGGCTGATCTGCAAAAACATGGACAGTCAGAAGGAATAGGGTACAAGCCAGACATGGGGATGGCAGAGATGGGCATGGACAGCACGCTAAAAGCTAAAAGATTTTACTGTAATAAAGGAGGAGGAAGGATAAAGCCACAATGGCCCAGAAAGGCTTTTCTAAATGAAGAGAAAAGGAAGAGAGAGAAACTCAAATAAACTGAAGGTGTCTGCCCTAGTAGAAGGAACAGGAAATGTTTGTTCTTACAAGTGGTTTGATTAGTGATACTATGCAAATCTTTTGAATTCAGGCTCCCAAATTGGAAACTTCCTGTCTCAAATGCAATGCTTTTCAAATTGGGAATGTCCTGTTTCAGACTTTGAAATGGGATGTTTTAGATTTGCTCCATTTTAAATGTGCTTTTAGGCTCTTTCACACTCAAAATCATATTGATCCTCAATACTATATTATGATGGCCATCTAGACTACCCTACAGTTATAATTCACTGCTCCCAAGGTGAAAAAATGATGCCTTATTGCAATCTAATTTACATCTTAAGCAAAAAGTCATGTTTTTGATCATTGCATGGAAGTGAACTCTAAATTGTTCCAGTCAGCTTCTGAAACAAGCAAATCTGGAATGAATTGTCAAAGGATTTCTACTTTAAAGAGTCTTAAATCAACTCAGCTGGAACTAATCCTGCTTACTTCCTTTTTTGCTTATTTTCTTTTTATTCCATTTGCAGCAAAACAAATACACAGAGACTCAGGCCACTTCCTATGCTATTTATTTATTTATTATTAACCACATTTATATAGCTGCCATCTCACTAAAAGCAGCATACAACATGGGCAGCATACAACAATCAAATAAAACCACAGATACATAAAAACAATTGTTATAAAAATATAAAAAATCATTATTAAAAAACAATATTATAAGATGTTTAAAATATACCAACCACACGGAGAGAGCAAAATATCAACCACAGTGAAGCCATCTCAGAATGTCTCTGGTTCCCTGGGACCCCCAGGCCTGGTGACACAACCAGGTCTTAAGGGACTTCTGAAACGATAGCAGGGGTGGAGTTAACCTCACTTCAGGGGGGAGAATGTTCCATAAGGTGGGAGCCACAGCAGAGAAGGCCCGCCTCCTGGGACCCGCCAAGTGTAAGTCCCTAGCAAACAGGACCCATACCATGCCTTTTCTGCCAGATTGTATGGGATGGGCTGATGTGACTGGGGAGAGGCAGCCCCTCAGATAACCCGGTCCCATGCCATGAAGAGCTTTAAAGGTTAAAACCAGCACCTTGAATTGGACCCGGAAGCAAACCAACAGCCAATGCAGCTCGCAGAGCAGAGATATAATATGTGCTCTTCTAGGAGCACACATAACTACCCGTGCCACTGCATTCTGCACCAGTTGAAGCTTCTGGATACTCTTCAAGGGCAGCACCATGTAGTGCACATTACAGTACTCCAATCTGGAGATGACTAGGGCATGAATGACTTAAGCAGAGCCTCCCAATCCAGGAAAGGGCACAATTGGCACATAACATGAAGCTGTACAAAGGCCCTCCCGCCACAACTCCTCTTTGAACAGGAGTTATGAGTCCAGGAGAGCCCCCGAGATTACACGCCAGGTCTGTCTGGGGCAGTGTCACCCCATCAGGAACCAAAGATGGCATAGTCGTAGAACCAGTAGGTCCCAAACCCGGAGCCACTCAGTCTTGCCAGGGTTTAGCTGAAGCCTGTTGTTCCCCATCCAGACACTCATAGCCCCCAGGCACCAGGATAAGACATTCATGGCATTGCTTAATTCGCCAGGAGCAGACATGTATACCCCAGCTCATATTGATGGTGAGCTCACCTAGCAGCTTCATATAGATGTTAAATAGGAGAGGGGAGAGCACCGAACCCTGCGGCACCTCCATAGTAGGGGCTGAGGGCGGGACCTCTCCTCCCTAACCACCACCAACTGGAATCAACTCCGGAGAAAGAGGCAAACCAGCATAACACCATGTTGCCAATCCCCTGAGCGGATCCAGAAGGAAATCATGGTCAACATCAAAAGCCGCAGAGAGGTCAAGTAGAGCAAGGATGAATGCACAACCTCCCTCCCACCCACAGCAGAGATCATCTAAAAGCATGACCAGTGCCATTTCCATTCTGCACCCGGATCCGAATCCTGACTGAAAATGATCCAGATAATCCGCTTCATCCAAGGCCCTCTGAAGTTGTTGTACAACCACCTTCTCAACCACCTTCCCCCAGAAAGGGAGGTTAGATACTGGACAAAAATTGTCCAGTGTGGTAGGGTCCAGCAATGGCTTCTTCAGGAGGGGGCGAACCAAGGCTTCTTTAAGAGGTAAAGGAACAACCTCCTCACTCAAAGAAGAATTGACTACCACTAAAACCCACTGCCACAACACCCCCTGGGCTGCTTTCACAAGCCAGGAGGGGCATGGATCCAAACAGCAGGTAGCTGAGCTCACAGTCCTAAGGACCCTGTCCACTTCCTCAGGCCTATCAGGTTCAAACCATTCCCAGATAACCAGGCAAGACTCCACCCCAGGCATCCCCTCTGGACCTGCAACAAGGCCAGTGTCCAACTGCGAGCAAATCTGAGCAATTTTGTCTAATAAATGCCACGCAATCTTCTGCATATCCCTGCGAAAGGTTTCCTGAGTCCCCTTTACCCAAGAGGGCTTATGTCACCTGAAACAGGGCTACAGGTGGCAATCTGCAAATGCAATAAGAGCGGAGAAGTACTGCTGCTTCACTGCCCTTACTGCCACAAGGTAGGCCTTAATAGCAGCTCTAACCTGTGTTTGGTCGAGTTCGTCTTTGGTTGAGCACCAGTGACACACTAGATGGTCTCTTTTCTTGTTTCATCTCCCTCAAGTCCTCTGTAAACCATGGGAAGTGCCGGATCCCTGAGAGGGGAGAGGTCACATGGGCACAATCCAATCCAATCCAATCCAATCCAACAACTCAGCCTTCCCCTGTTCTAAGTGGCAACCAAGGCTTTGATGGATGGTTCAGCAGACCAACAGGAACAACCCTCAGCTCCCTCTGAAACCCATCTAGGTCCATTAGTCACTGGGGGTGGACCAATCTAATGGGTCCAGCCTCCTGCAGTGGGTGGTGGCACTAGAGAATCCCATAGAAATCACGGCATGATCTGACCATAACAAGGGAAACACCAAGAGCTCCCCCAGTTTATTTATTTATTAAATTAATTTATATAGCTGCCCATCTGGATGGCATACAACAAAGCTAAAAACAGTAACATCTATTAAAATATATATAAAACAAAGGAAGAGAATAAAAGGAAGTTAAAAATAAGGGAGCCACCTCACTAATTCCCCCGTCCTCTGGAGTCCCCAGGCCTGCTGGCATAACCAAGTCTTAAGGGGCCTCTGGAAGCTCAGCAATGACGAGGCCAGTCTCACCTCAGTGGGGAGAAGACTCCACAGTGCAGGTGCCACAGCAAAAAAGTCCTGCCGCCTGGGGCCTGCCAAATGTATTTCCCTAGGCAATGGAACCCGTAACATGCCCCCTCTGCTGGATCTGGTAGGATGGGCAGATGAAATCAGGGAGAGGTGATCCCTCAAATAGCTCAGCCCCGTGCCATGAAGGGCTTTAAAGGTCAACACCAGCACCTTGAATTGGACCCAGAAACAAACTGGTAACCAATGCAGCTCACAAAGCAGAGATATAACATGTGTTCTACTAGAATCACACATAACTGCTCACGCTGCTGCATTTTGCACCAGCTGAAGTTTCCGAATACTCTTCAAGGGCAGCCCCATGTACAGCGCATTGCAGTAATCTAACCAGGAGGTGACCAAGGCATGAGTGACCATGAGTAGGTCCCTCTGTTCTAGGAATGGGCACAACTGGCACACAATACAAAGTTGTGCAAAGGCCCTCCTAGCCACAACTGTCACCTGCTCTTCAAACAGGAGTCATGAGTCCAGGAGGACCCCCAGATTGTGCACAGGGTCTGTTTGGGGCAGTGCGACCCCATCTACTATCAAAGATGGTAAAATCCTAGAACCAGAGGGGCTCAAAACCCAGAGCCACTCAGACTTTCCAGGGTTGTTGAAGCCTATTGTTCCCCATCCAGATCCTCACAGCCTCCAGATACTGAGATAGTATGCCCACAGCATTGCTTAAGTCGCCAGGGGTGGAGATGTACAATTGAGTATCATTAGCATACTGATAATACCTCACCCCATGACAACAGATGAGTTCACCCAGAGGTCTCATGTAGATGTTAAATAGGAGAGGTGACAGCACCGACCCCCGTGGCACCCCACAAAGCAGGGGGCAGGAGCAGGATCTCTCCTCCCCAATCACCACCAACTGGAACCAACCCTGAGGAAAGGAGGCAAACCAGCACAATACCGTGCCGCCCACCTCCAATCCTCTGAGTCAGTCCAGAAGGATACCATGGTCGATGGTATCAAAAGCCACCAAGAGGTCAAGTAAGGTGAGGATGGATGCACAACCACCATCCTGCTCACACCAGAGATCATCCAAATGTGCAATCAGTGCTGTTTCTGTACCATACTCAGGTCTGAACCCTGACTGAAAAGGATCCAGATAATCCTTAATTTATGTGATCTGATAATTTCAGATCACATAGCCACTGCTCTGACAAGAACACCAGATCTGGGGTGTGACCACTGTCCCATGTCAGGCTCTGGATGACCTCAGCTAGGCCCATGGCCGTCATGGTGGCCATGAACTCCCAAGTCACTTCAGACCCCAGTCCTAGAGAAGGCGGATTTAAGTCCTCCAGAACCATAAATCTGAGAATTCTACTGCCAGCCCCAAAATGGAATCAGCGAGCTCAGGCCGGAAGGTTGCTATGCAGCAGGGAGGCTGGTACAACAGCAACAGTCCCAACTGATCCCTACAGCCCAACTTAATGAACGGGGTCTCACATCC